AATTAAGTGTCGACCAGATGATTTTCCAATCTAATTTTCCAATCTGAGCTCCTGGGGAATGTTAAACATTTTATCAGCTATTTATTTGTTTCTCTGTTCCTAAAGACAGTTTTGTTTTGTTTTTTTAAGCCAATGCTGGAGGGATTCTGAACTACTAAAGTGATTTGCATAAAATATTCCAGAGGGAGATCTTGCAGTGTTAGGGCTGAAACTCAAGGCTTTGCCTGTGCTAGGCAAGCACTCTAACACAGAGCTGCGCAGCCCTCAGGGAGATCTATTCCTGGATAGAGGAAGCTTTGAAAAGGAAGCCTTCCGCGGTACTCCTGCACCATACGGTGGGTAACAACACAGCTTCTTGAGCTGGCCGGAGCTCTGCTGAAAACAGCTCAGCTCTTCCTTTAGTACCTGTATAACTTTGGGTGAGTGCCTTGACTCTCTGTGGCTTGGTTTCTTCCTGACCCTCACTTGCACCGGCCACTGAAATGCTAGGCGTGGCGTTCAGAGAGCAAGTCAGCCCGAGGACAAATGGATAAGGGTTAGCATGGAAAAGGTAACTTTGTAGATTGCCGTTAAAATTTTAAGCAAAATCCAGAGGTTTGTCACGAAGAAGTAGAGGAGAGAACGGGAGAAGGCGCTGCGTGGGGGCGTTCATCGTTTGGGAGCACCCTTGGAGGGCAGGAGAAGACAGGGCTACAGAAAAACAAGGAAAAGCAGTCGGCCGGGGACTGATGGCTCAGCAAGCGCGCAGACCTCCCTCCAGCCTCAGGGAGCAAAGGGGCTGCACAAAGATGCCAAGAGCAGAGTCATCCCAGGCTGGTCTGGAAGAAGTTAAAGGACTCACTGAAGGTCACACCTGGACTTTGACAAAAGGGTTTTAGCTCCAAAGGTAGCGGTCTTTCTAATTTCTACAGGAGCTTTGAGTCTGTCCATAATTAGGGTTCCCGTGGACTTCCTTTTCCTAATCTGTGGGGCAGGTGGCACGGCCACAGGTGCCACGTTGTTACGTGACATGTCACTTTAGATAACTCACCAACGCCTCCCCGCCCGCTTGTTTCTGTTGTTAAAGTGTGTTCCACAAGCTCAAATTCTAAAGCGGTGATGTTAATGTGCGACCTACTTTTTGGGCGCTCTGGTACCTTCGTAATATCCAGCTACGGCCAGACAGGTCCGTTCCCAAGTGCAGCCGTGGTTAGCACTAGCACACACCATGTCGAACAATCACTGACCTGTACCTCAATTCATCGCTTCAATTAATTGTCCATAAGCCAACACCACATCCAAACAAAGCTGAAGGTTGTAAAACCTAGAAACAAAACAAACAAAAAACACCTCTCCCCCGTAACACGCTGTCTTAACCGAGAAAACAACGTAGAAAATCAACACAGGAAGGGGAAGCAGAGCTATGGGAAGATGGGGGCCGCGTGCCAACACCAAGCAGTTGTCCAGCGTAGATCAGGACCCTTCCAGCCCAGCTGAAGAAAATGATTGCGCTCTTGGGATACAACAGCTTCTTTGAATTTTCTCAGATTTTTTTTTTTTTTCTTTTTTGTCTTTTTGAGACAGGAGTTCACTATACAGTTGAGGCTGGCCTCGAACTCACAGCGGTCCTCCTGCCTCAGCCTCCGGGAGGCTGGGATTACAGGCGTGAGCCACCAAGCCCGGCTTCAACTTTTTAATGGAATGCCAGAGAACCATTGATAATCTATAATCCATTAGGAATTAAAATTAAAAGCCGAGTTGGAGTTAAATTTTCATCTGTACTTCCCGGTGTGCCATGAGGGATGCATTTCTTTGGGGGAGGAGACAGGAAACTTTTTTTAAACTGGCAATAAGCTTATTTGTGTTCCAGTACTTTCCTATTCCGCTAGAATTTTCCTTTGAAGCCTCCCGGGGAGGACGGGGCCTGGCGCCCCGCGCGACCCCGCCCCGGGACGCCCGGACCCACCGCGGCCGCG